TCAGAATATAAGAATACAAATAATGGGTGGTTATAATTTTGTAGCTGCTTGCATTTCCGCCAGAAATCATTTAGAGTCTGCTTATGAGAAGGTCTCAAAACCGAGCTCCATAAGGCCCCTTTCACCAGACCAGGCCGTTCCTTTCATCAGTTCAGTCAAAAAATGGATGAAGTTTGCCATCAGCTTTTCATCAATTTTTACATCTACTACCAATGTAAAAATGGACCAGTTGTCCATTTACATCGTATTTTTTTTTTTTTTTTTTTTTTTTTTTTTTTTTTTTTTTTTAACGGAACAAACATTTGGTTACTAACATTTTATAGGTAAAGTTGATCCAGGGAATATTCAAATGCCTCTCAGGGGATCAGGAAGGAATTTTTTTTCCCCTGCAGGAGAAAATTGGATCATGCTTTGCTGGGTTTTTACCTTCCTCTGGATCAGCTGTGGGTATAGGATTATAACTTTTTTTTTTTTTTTTTTTTTAATGGTTGAACTGGATGGACTTTTGTCTTTTTTTCAGCCAGACTAACTATGTAACAAAAATAGGACTTTGATCCGTTTACATCCACATCTGTTTTTTTTAAAACCGATCATCTGTTTACATCTGTATTTCCATAGAGATGCATTGATGTCCATTTTTCATCTCTCAATGGTTGGATAAAAAAAGAAACGAACAAACGGTCCACTTGTGTTAAAGGAGCCTAAATCTTGTGGCCTCATGTTCCAGTTGCAGGTTTGCTGCATCTGGCATTATGTGCTGATCTAAATATTTGCACATAAGCATTTAATTTACCGTATGTATAAAGGCTGAAAATCTTTATTCAGTCAGCCTCTACCATCAGCGCTACAGATACCTAGCTGTTAACTATCACTGTGCAGTACTGTGGGTCACCCTAAGAGATCTTGCAGTGCAGTCTGTTGGGTTCAGCTGTAAGATTGACAGCTAGGTTGTGGTATGTTTTTGGAAATTGACAACAGATTTATCATTGGCCATATGCCTGACAGGACATTTCTCTGTAAAGTGCATACTCCTGACCCCTGCACTCTGTGAGTAGTGCTGTCATTTGAATACTCCTGTTCTTTGCCACATCTGCAGAGTATGGTTTCGACTTAAGTTCCATTTAAGTTGCCCTGTTACACCACTGCCAGTGCCTGTGCCATGAAAATGCCTGGACATCTATGGGGATGTGTCCTGATCATCTTGAGAGATGACCCCATGGAATCTACAGTAATCTACTGCATAGGCACCACCCAGACACGGAAGATACAAACTCTGGAGGCTGCAGCTGCTAATGAAAATAATTATGCATCTGATGGGGAGGGTGAGATAGGTTAAGTCAGGTAAGGGCCCAAAATGAAAAGTAAACTTTATTTTTAAGTATACTTATCCTGTTAACGTAATGTCTAAAAAAAAAAAAAAAAAAAAAAAAAGCTTGTCACAATGTACTGTATATTTATTAATTCGTACACAAGTACTATCTGTACTCTTCCACTAGTTAGTGGTGGAGGGGTGCTGGACATCAAAATGTAGACAGTCATTACTTCAGCCCAAAAGGCCTGTATTCAGCAGCTCACAACAAAGTAATAGGTCAAAGAGAGAGCCAAAGTCTTTATTGTTCAACTGCTCACAACAAGCAGGGCAAATGACAGCTAACTCTGTGTTTACTCTCCCCTGCTTACTACTACTTTACTACTCTCCTGACTTACTATAAGCTCAAATGTTAAGCCCTTTTCCAAGTGAACTCTATTTGGATCAGCAAGAAATCCAGTCACAGCTCCCCAGCTGAGCAGAGCGGGTGGATGACAGGTCCCTGTCCACTCAGCTTATGCAGAGCAGACATGGACAGAGTCCACTGTGCTCTATGGGCTTTTGGTTGTAAACGGATCCTGCTGTCTGTTTACACCTGACTGCCCTCCTACTGATCTGCCTAGACAGGAACGGATTCACTTCTGTGTTTGGTTTTTGTTTCCTGTGGACGGGATTGGAGGTAGGCAGGTGTAAACAGACACAAGTTTGTTTTACCACCCGCTGGTCCTTAGGGCTGAATGGAGTGTCTGGTCAGGTCTGCCTGAAAAGCTGACAGGCGGACTGGATGGAATAGTCCGTATAAAAGGGGCCTTATGTATAGCTCCAAGATCTTTCTTGATCAGTTTTCAGCCTCTGAATTGTTTTCCTTATCCTGTTAGGTAGGATTGTATAGAGGTTTGCAGCATTTAATATTTAATAAATAGTGCTACATAAGGTGTTGCCACTTTTATAAAGAAAATATATTTGACGCACATTTGTTCCATCCATCCATTGGCTGAACAGGTAAGAAGACTAGAGTTTGTAATGGTTGTTCACGGGTTGTATGGATGGTCATAGTCATCAGAGATATCTCTTGTAATGACCCCTAGCTTATCTACTGACCTAAACAGGAACAGTGTTGTGGCACAAGCATTCCTATTTAGTGGTAGAGAAAAAGGAGGACCACACTGACTCAATGCCAGCTTATAAAGGTGGGAAAAAATAGTCATCAGATCAAATGTTTAATCCTTTCCATTTTTTTTTCCCCCCAAGAATGTTTGTATCTCAGGAAGCCACCTCCTAGATCAGAACTCGATTCTGCCTAAAACAGATGGGAAGATTGCCATTTTATGTCTATGATTACCATAAGACACTGAAATAATTTCATTAAATCAGTTTCTGAAATATACAGAGCTGTTTGGAAAGTCATGTCTGGTGAAAGTGAGGTTGTACAAGGTCACTGACATCTGTGTAAACAATGCCTGACAAATAGACTTTTGTAGCTTGAAAAACTAGTCAGGCGGTTGCTGTAGCTTAAGATTTCCAAGCAGTTGACAACTAAAATATCTTTATGCATTTTGGAGCTGTAGCTTCAAAACTTTCACTGGGACTGCAAACATCCAAATAGAAATTGGATGATAATGTGTAACAAAAGAATCTTCGCCATGTACCAAGTATTTTGCATTACGTATTCTAACTTGCATTAGAATTTAGTAATGCAAGCTGAGTTATGAGTTGCTAAACATTTCAAATCTGGAATTGTAATAGTAATGTGTATCAGTAGACAGGATGCAAAGACTTCTCCTGGGGTAATGAAACGATATCCCTTTCCCTACAAACAGCCCATATGAATGCAGGCTTTAGCTAGTGGTCTCTTGCTTTGCATGTATGCTCATTAAGCATACTTCTTTTTTTAACATAATGGTGCAAAATACTATGTATGCAATAAGATTAAATCCCCCATTAATGTCTGTTAACTCATGATACGCTGTATTAGGAGACTGGAGTGTCATTTAACTCTTCACAAACAAAAAGTGAAGTATTATATCTGGGGGAAAAAGGTGCTTCAACTGAACTCTCAAAAAAAATAACCAAAGTAGAAAAAAAATGCCTCTGCTACCAAAATCATTTCTCCTTTCTTTTTTTTTTTTTTTTTTGCCCATTTATACTGTCTGTGGCATATGCATAATGCAGTATACACTGTTGACACCTCTAAGATGCAATAGAGTGCATCCTAATGTTGGGATAATGCAGCTCCATCAAACATGTAGAAGTTGCATAATCACTGTCTGCCCATTGGCCAAAAGAAGACGACATCAGAGAGGATGGCAGCAATGGAGAATGTAGAGCTGTCATCGCAGGCCCACAACAAACTCAGGAGAAACTTTGTCCTAATGTGCTAGTATAATGTAATATTTAACCTTAAGGAAGAACTTTACCCATACAATAATCTTTCCATGAAATGCTCTGTTTTTTTAGCTTTTTTTTTTTTTTTTTTTCCTTAGAGCAAACAAAGTATTCTGTGTATTTTGTGCAGTGCTGACAAAAGCATTTGTACTTTGCATGGCTGTTTCTCTGCATCAGCGATAGGCTGGAATGAAGGTTTCACTATGTAATTCTGGCATCCGCAGCAGTATCGCTACAACATATTCAGATGAGCCAACAAGTATGAAACCATGTATGCAAATTCATGTATGCGATCGTAGTGCCAAGTAACAAATTACATGTATTAAAAGCTGACTCCATCATCTGGCAACAGAAAGGTTAGACTAGGGTTTCTCAACAAGGGTTCAATGGCACACTAGGGTTCTTCCAGAAGTTCCCACTGACATTGTTTATCTACAACTCATGATACATTAGTGCGATATAGTAATTCTTAGCTGGGGTTTACTTGGCTGAAAACTCAAGCACAATGAAAATGTTGCAAAACCAAGACAAATTTGTATAGTTGTCACTTAATTTGTGACTATTGAGCTTTGGGAAAGCACATTTTGACATGAATTTCAGATATTTGTAAACCGTTATGAAAACAATTTATCATTTTCCTTCCACAATTATGTGCCACTTTGTGTTGGTCTATCACATAAAATCCCCTCAAAAATAAATTTTATGTTTTTGGTTGTAACCTATGTTGACATTTTCAAGGGGTATGAATACTTTTTTCAAGGCACTGTAGTTTGCAAGGTACAAAATAATATGCTAATATCAGAAAATTCATCATGGTGGGAACGTTGTATAAAAATGAAAGGCACAGTAATCTTGAGCCCCAGTTCACACCAGTGCGACTTGTCATGCGATTTGACAGTTCCAAATTGCATGCCAAATCACACCTTATTGGCAGTGGAACCATTGATATCGGTGCTACTCCCACCCCGTTGGAGTCGCAGCAGTTTTAAATATAGTTCCTGTATGAATTCACAGAGATGTCAGGCAAGTCTCATCTGAAATCGCACTGACCTGTGGTTCTGTAATTGCGCTACTTCAGGTTTCAGTGTGAACAGGGTTAAAGATCCAAAGAGCATCACTTAGAATTGATCAGGCACACCCTTTTTAACTTCTGCAATTTGTAAATAGACTTGGCTTCTCTCAAATATATGACTCCTGCTGGTCATAATTTTGATAACAAATATACTTTGTACTGAGACAATTCACCCGTTATTTTAGGCCTTCTTACAAATGCTTTTATAACCTGTAAGTTTGTATTTCCACACAGGTTTTGGAGGCTGCCTGGATATCATTGTAGATGGTGTAGCCCTGATGAAGGAAACAACCATAGAGCCTAGTTATAACCCGGTTCACCATAACTTCATTGAGACAGAGACACAGTTGGCTGAGAGTTTTGCCTATTTCTTTCCTCCTGGTGCAGCTTCAGAGTAAGCGTTTCATTTACCAACACCTGAAATAAGCTTCGCTATAACTATGAAAAACCACCCTTACCACTGTATGAATGCACTGCTGACAACTCTGACCAGATGTGGTGTTTTGCAAATAGTGGTTTAGTCTAGGTTTGCATTTGTGCAGGTGGTGAGACTTGCATTTGTGTGGGCACTGCAGCACCTTTGTTTAAATTGGCAGCTGTACCTGCGTTTCCTGCAGGGGGAAAAAAATCCTCTGACCCTTTTTTTTTTTTTTTTTTTTTTATGTAAAGGTGGTCACATGAAACCACGTGGTGCTTTTTGGCACCATGCGGTTTCATACAGCCAAAAACAGGTCACTTCTTTTGATGCATGGGGGTGACATTACGCTTCTGCAAAAGAAAAGTGTGTTTTTGGCTGCAGGTGTGAGCACTCCTGCAATTTTACAGGCAGTCCTGCACCCACAACAGTGTGAACCTAGCCTTGGGACTAGTATTTGGGTCTGCCATATGGGTTGGGGCTCACATCTCAGTAATATTTCTATAGTAAATGCATTTTAATTGCACATAAAAGGACTTGCGCCACCAGTCATTAATCTTAACACATTGATAAAACATCATACAGCTTTTACTAAATAAATATTACTTTAGAAAATCCAAATTAATGTTCTGAAATTCCTTTTATATTTAAACAGACATTGTGCCAAATGATCTTATCTATATAGCTAATCCTCCAAGGGGGATATTGGAATGTCATTACTGCATAGTAAGGAAACTTAACAGATATTGTATGTTTTGGAAGAATATTGTTTTTAGCTATGAGAAACAAATGGTTTATTTATAGCCATTGATGTTCTAGATTAGCCTTTCACCTTCCTCTTAGTTACATAGTTAGTCTGGCTGCAAAAAGGTAAAAGTCCATCCAGTGCAACAAAAAAAAAAAAAAAAGTTATAACCCTACACCCACAGTTTGTATCCAGATGAAGGCAAAAAATCCAGCAAAGCATGATCCAATTTACTCCTGCAGGGGAAAAAAATTCCTTCCTGTTCCCCCCGAGAGGCAATTGGATATTCCCTGGATCAACTTTACTTATAAATGTTAGTAACCAGTCATATTCTATGTATCCAAGAAAGAATCCCAGGCCTTTTCCTTCTTTTTTTTTTTTTTTTTTTTTTTTTTTTTTTTTTTTTTTAAGCAATCCACTGAGCTGGCCAGAACCAACTCTTGAGGGAGTCTATTCCACATGTTCACAGCTCTTACTGTGAAGAAACCTTTCTGTATTTGGAGATTAGATCTCTTTTCCTCCAGGTGTAAAGAGTGCCCCCCTTGTTCTCTGATGACCTCCAAGCTGAATAACTCTACACCAAGTTCACTATATGAACCACTGATGTATTTATACATGTTGACCATATTGCCCCTTAATCTCCTCTTCTCAAGAGAGAATAAATTCAGTTCCTCTAATCTTTCCTCATAGCTGAGCTCTTTCATGTCTTATTAGCTTGGTTGCCCTTCTCTGTACTTTCTCCAGTTCCCCATTTGTTCTTTTTGTGAATTAGTGTTCAAAACTGAACTGCATATTCCAGATGAGGTGTTACTAATGATTTGTACAGGGGTAATATGATATCTCTCTCTGGAGTCTATACCTCTTTTAATACAAGAGAGGATTTTGCTTGCTTTAGAAACCGCAGCTTGGTATTGCATACCATTATTAAGCTTGTGATCTACCAGAACCCCCAGATCCTTCTCCACAATTGATTCCCCCAGTTGTACCCCCCCCCCCCCAGTATGTATGATGCATGCATATTCTTAGCCCCCAAGTGCATAACCTTACATTTATCAACATTAAAACTAATTTGCCACATAGTTGCCCAATTAAACAGTGCATTGAGGTCGGCTTGTAAGTTGGAGACATCCTGTAAGGACGTTATTCCACTGCACAGCTTGGTGTCATCTGCAAAGACTGAAATAGGATTTTTAATCCCAGACCCTATATCGTAAATAAATACATTAAAAAGTAAGGGTCCCAACACTGAACCTTGGGGTACACCACTGACAACCCTAGACCATTCAGAGTATGAATCATTAACCACTGCTCTCTGAGTACAATCTTTTAGCCAGTTTTCTATCCATTTACATACAGATTTTTCTAAGCCCGTAGATTTTACCTTACACATTAGCCGTGTGTGGGGAACTGTGTCAAACGCTTTTGCAAAATCCAAGTATACCATGTCCACCGCCACCCCCCACTGTCCAAGGTTTCGCTCACCTCTCATAAAAAGAAATCAGATTTGTTTGACAACTTCTGTCTTTCATGAATCCATGCTGTCTGTTGCTTAAAATATTTTTTACAGCAAGAACTCATCTATGTGGTCTTTTATTAAACTCTCCAGTATATTCCCAATTATAGAAGTTAAACTAAGAGGTCTATTATTAATTGACAAAGATTTTGTCTCTTGAAGAAGCTAAACTGAGAAACCACATCCAGGATGGACTCTTCCCTCTTCAGCAAGCAATAGTTAACTGGAATTTCAGGGTCTAATGGGGGACTAATAGAATGCTGTAACGTGCAATAAGGGGATTAGCCACACAGAAAGTAATTTAGCACAGTGTCTGAACATAAATGTTGTCACTAAATACACTTTAGAATGTTAATTTGGATTTTTTAAATAAAACCTATTTAATAAAAACTGTAAGATTTTTATTATTGTGTTAAGACCTCAATAGTCTTACGTAGTTTCACAATTTGCAAATAGGGGTTGCAAACACACACAAAAAAAGCAATCAAAATTAATTCGCCTGAAAGGTGTGAACCACTATAACTGGTTTTTGATTTGCATTGCAATATTGCACAATACAACTTTTATGGCACACCAGTATCCAGCACAGATTAATGTTCCTTTAAGGATAACTCCTTTGTCGGATTTTCATTTTGTCACTGGGAGTGTCACCCCCTATAAACAGATGTGCCTGTCCTGTTGACACCAGCCCCCTTCGGTGCTAGCCCTCCTGTCCACTTTCACCCAACCCTCTTCCTGCAATGTCCATTGCAACTGCAAACCTCCTCTCAGAAATTACAACATCTACAATCCTGCTTTTCTCAGCACCCACACTATCTGCACCCCTCTTCGCTTTCTGCCCACTGCGCCAGCAACCCCTTTCTCTCAACAACCATTGTGTTTTGCTCCCTCCTTTTCCAGCACCCTTTTGCACTTACGGTTTTCATTTTTCTCAGCTTCCATTGTACTTGCAACCCTTTTTCCTCAGCACCCACACTTTCAATCATAGGGTGACAACACTCACTGCATTTGTATGCATAGAGAAGCAGGGTTGTTTCCCTAGGCTGATTGCTCCTGATTTGGACTACCTACCATCTACCCTTCTCCTAATTTCCTTTACAGGTGTTCAGTAGTAACCTGGGAGGGTTGACAACACCACTTGGGATTTCAGTGCAACAGTAGCACAGTGTTGTCAGCTCACTACAGGAAGTTACAAGCTCACTGTATTTCTGGCAGGATCAGCAGGAATTTTTGCACTTCTCAAACAGCTATAAAGAAGAGCTTTGAGAATGGTAACAGAAGGGGGTTTATATACATTTGTCTATTAAAGGAAACCCGTAATGAGAGAAACCTTTAGACTGCCATTGCTGATCTCTTTCTGAAAATGCTAGAGTGAACTGAAGAGATCGGCAACTCAAAGTAGAAAAGCCAGAGGATTAGATGAAAGTCAAACTAGAAAATTTATTTTAAAAAATTAGTAATGGAGACTTCAAATTTCTGCGCAACGGAAGGTTTATGATCACATAAAACATAAAATGCCCTCTTGGGGCAGGCAACTTTAATTCCTTTTACTAATTAGTGACATACCAGTCACTAACTGGTGAAATCTTTACAATGTCTCAGGTTAAACAAAAAAGAAAGTGTTTTATTTCTGTGTTGCTGTTCAGGAGCCATTAATATCTATATATTTTTTTTTTTCTCTCGATAATGTGATTTTCTGACTGCATGCATGTCATTAAAATTTTGTGTAATAATTTAACCCTTGTAGCTTCATACTCTTACCAAATTGTGCTTTTTGTGTTTTCTTTTGTTGCTTTTTTTTTTTTTTTTTTTGTTTAGCCTTCATTTACCAATCTTGAGGTACTTTGAAGATATGCAACATTCAAATGCACCATTATCATTTATATAAAATATACAAAGACCGCTAAACTTAAAGCAAATACAACCTGTAACAGTGCAGGGAATCTTAATTTTAATCTTGTTCATTTTAATAGGAGATATGTATCCAACGAGACGTTGTTTAGAAAGCTTGTGGATGCCTCTAAAAGACTTCCTGAAATGCGTTGGGCTCTAGGTGGAAATGCTCCAGTCATGGCAAACCGCTTAGCTGCTGAAGGATGTGATGTTCTACTAGGGGGTCGTCTGAGTCAAGAAGAAGCTAGTGTGTTATCCGATCGCATCATAGGTAAGGTTATGATTCATTTAGTCTGTCATGTTCCACTTAAATCACGTGTCAATAAGAACCATACAAGTGTGGTATCTCTTGTTTTAAAATGTGTGTATCGATTGCTATATCAGCGAGTGGATAGACCTCTACTGATAAACTACAGCTGCAGCCAGTGCTGTAGCCATAAGCCACCTGAAGTGATACCATCTATTGGATAAAACCATAGGAGCCCACACAGAGGTGTCAAAGTGGCACTTGGTTTTTGTTTTTTACTATTGTCTTCTTTCAAATCTGTTTTCTTTGTGTGCACACAGAAATAATGTGACAGCTGGAGCCAGGTGAATTTTGTTAGTCTGCCTACCTCTATGTAATTAATTCATAGCTGTAATGTGATCACATGATTGGGGACCATGCTGAATGGTTCCAGTTGTTGAGACTATAGCTTGGACCAATGTAATTATGTATATACCATACCTGGTTGATCCCCCTGGAAGCTAGAAATCACTGAAATAGACACGGTTACTCCAGTGATCTCCACTAGCCGGTAGATGTTTCACTACCCATTACCTGGGCATGATCCACGCTTGCAATCGGGAAACCTGCACTGAGAGGGTCCATGCATCCATTTCCACATTGCAGGCATATGGTCAGGAAGTGGCTGAAAAGTGCTGCAGGAGATCAGCAGCACTGAGATGAACCTAAGAGAGAATAAAAATCGAAAACAATATTGTTTAAACAAAAAGTCAGTTAATACAGTGATTTAGCAAACTAAATGTCATTCAGCCAGGGTTTACATCTCCTTAAAATCCCTAAAGGTTGAAAGTACTGATATTTTGTTAATAATAAAAAATATAATTAATAAAAACTGAAGCAGAAAAACAGGTTGCTAAAGTTATTTATATCCTGAAAATTCGACTGTTGTCTATTTTAAGATAGTCTAAGCACCTAAACCAGATGGCATCCACCCAGTGTGCTAAAACCACGCCAGTGAATAATAAACCACTATATCTCTTGTTCTTTCCCAGCTGGAAAAGCCCCGTGCATACTGTGCAGTTGTTTAACTACTTACCTACTGGGCACTTTCACCCCCTTCCTGCCCAGGCCAATTTTCAGCTTTCAGCGGTGTCACGCTTTGAATGACAATTGCGCGGTCATGCTGCACTGTACCCATGTAAAATTTTTATAATTTTTTTTTGAGATAGAGCTTTCTTTTGGTGGTATTTAATCACCACTGGGTTTTTAATTTTTGATAAACCAAAAACTGAAAATTTTGAAAAAAGTGTTTTTTTTTCTTTGTTTCTGTTTATAAAATTTTGTAGATGACTAATTTTTTCTCCTTCGCTGATGTGCACTAATGAGGCTGCAGTGATGGGCACTGATGAGCATTGACAGGCATCACTGATGGGCACTGAAAGGTAGTACTCCTATATGGCACTGTTAGAGGGCACTGATATGTGGCATTGATGGGTACTGACAAGTGGCACTGATGGGGCTACACTACTCATCAGGGCACTGATCATCGGTGCCCTGATGATCAGTGTAGATGTCCCCTCTAAGGAATGCCGATTACCGGCTCTCTTCTGCTCACGAGCTGTCAGCATGACCACTCGGGAGGAGAGAAATGACGATAACCTGCATTTCCTTATATACATCGATCAGCTGTGAATGGACACAGCTGATCACATCACAGAACCAAAGTCTTCTGCTCTTTCCGCTGATCGGTGATCCGCTGTGTCCCAGGGAAACCGCGCACCACCAATCGCTGCACAGCCCCGGTTAGAGTGAGAGGATATCTTATGACATCCTCCCAGAATGAGACAACCACCTTGCGCCCATCATTTCCTTATATGGTGGGCAGGAGGCGGTTAAGGTGGAGAAAAACATCTAGATATGGGTAACCATAGACAAGTACTGTAAGTCTAACTTCTGTGCTGTGTAAATAATTGAAAGTGGGGCAGAGAATTAGGTTCAGGGGAATAGGGTGGTGTGATTTTATCAGGCATAGAGTAACGGTGGGGGGAGGCATACATAGGTGCCACCGGGGATTTAGGGATGTAGTGAGGAACGGGGCTGTTGAGAGTAGGAATGGTTGAGAGCGTAAAGATGCAGTGTATGTTGATCAGATGGTTTTGGGAACAGGGTTGTGATTTGGGCAATGTGCAGGTGCAATGCTGGTAAGGGTGGATGGTAGTGATGGGGGAATGCAGGTGTTGGGAGATGGGTGAGTTCAGGCACAGTGGGTGTTGTGAGCGAGGGGTGCTGATAGGGGCTGTAGGTGTGTTGAGAGAAGAGGGGGCTGCAAGTGCAGTGGCTGCTGAGCGAACAGACGTAGATGCATTTAGTAGTCAAGAGGGGGGGGCTGCAGGCACCATGAATGTTGAGAGAAGGAAGACTGCAGATGCAATGGGTGCTGCGAAAAAGGGGGGCGCTGGCACAATGGTTACTGATAGAACAGGGGCTGAAGGTGTGGTGGGTTCTGAAAAGGAGGGGGGTGTAGGCATGGTAAGTGGTGAGAGAAGGGTGCAGATGCAAGCTCTGAGAGGAGGGTGCAGATGCAATAAGTGGTCAGGCACAATTGGTGGTGAGAAAAATATATCTGCTGGTACTGTGAATGCTGATAAGAAGGGGGGGGGGGTGCTGTAAACAAAGTAGGTGAAAGAAATAGAAATAGTTGCAGGCACAGTGGGTGCTGAGAAAAATGGAGTGTAGGTGTGGTATTGAGAGAAAGGGCTGCAGATGCAGTTTTTGCTAAGAGAAGTGGGGTCAGCCAGCAGCGGCTGCAGGGAGAGGAAGGACCGTACCACTGACAATGCAAGAGTTGAAAAATTAGGCATGTTCAGTTTGGAGAAAGGACATTGTATATGCACTCACATGTTTTTGGCAAAATAAAGAGTAACATGCATTACATTTCTATAATACGTGTACATTTCTTTGTTTATCCTTTGAAAAATGCAGTACAGAAAAGGACCTGGTATTCCTTCCAGCAATCCATTGATTGTTGTGTGTGTGGTGTGTGTGTTTTGTGTTCCCCCCCCCCCCCCCCAGCAGCAAAACAGAGCTACTGCTTTGACTCCTAAAAGCCTGGCCACTGTGTGTGTGGGTAAAGGGCTCTTGGGAGATGTAGTTCAGGGGGCATGCTTACATCCGTACGAACTGACCTAAAAAGCTATACTGACCATTCTATCAGTAGCTGCCCCTACAACAATTTCTTCACATGAAGTGAAGAAATGTGTTTCTTGCTACAGGAACAAGCTTAATGTGGAATGTCACCCAAAAAGGGAAGTTCTGCTTGTTTGCCTCCCTGCCATTTGGCACTTTTTGGGGGGGAACGGGTACCTGGTTTTGATGCCCGCTCCCACTTCTGGTCAGATGCGCTGGAAGTTCGCCCTTCCTTTCTCTGCAACCTTCTGGGACACTTCACAGGTCCCAGAAGACCGCGGGACCATTCACAGGGACCGCGGGACCATTCACTAACCTTACTGAAGATGCTGGTACCTGCATCAGAAGCCGACTGAAGAGATGGCTTGGGTGAGGACATCGCTGGATCCCTGGACAGGAAACTGTCCTTATATTAATGGTCAGCAGCTACAGTATTTGTAGCTGCTAAATTTTAATTTTTTGGGGGGAGCCCAGGGACAAACTCTAAAAAGAGAGTGGAAAGATTGGGGATACTTTTTGGGTCATGCTTATAAAAATCATTTAATTTACTACTTCAAATATATCTGAAAATATTAGGATTAAGCAATATTAATTTGGAAGTTCAGTCAAACCCTGACTATACTTAAATCTACTCCCGACCCCATTTTAAGCATATTCTATCCATCCTGTGAAAGGAAGGATCTGTATACTTACCTTTTCTGAGGGTGCTCTGGTCATATGATCGGGTCCCAGAACCAGATTCAGTGTAGAAGAGAGACAGCCAACAACGGATGCCCCGTAGTAAGTCTTTGGTGACGTCATTGCCGAGGCTCTGCAGCTGTTGTCGGCGATCTCTCCTCTTCACCGAAGCCAGCGCTAGGACTTGATCGTGTGAGTGGACCTCAATCAGGATAGGTAAGTATACAGACCTTTCCTTTACAGGATAGATAGAATAGGCTTAGATTGGGATGGGAGTAATTTAAGTATAGTTAGTGTTTTGACTGAACTTTCACTTTAGGATTTCAAATGTTTTTTTTTTGTTTTTTTTTTTTTTCTTTTTCAGCAGTTTAGAGTTTACAATTGAAGTGGTTATGCTGTAGAATGTTTTTTTGTCACATGATGCAGTAATAGCAAAAACCAGAGTGACCAGAGTTGCAGGAGACGAGAGCTTAAACTTGGACATATGGTCTTTATTCAACCTTATTCACTATGTAAGTCTTGTTACTTGTTATCCATGTTACCTCTTGGTTTAGCATTACCGGCTGCTGGTTCAATTCCCTGCTTACTGGACACATCTGCTAATTCATTGTCCAGCAAGCACGCTTGAGGCAGCTAGGTGACACAGAAAACTACATTGATGAACCAGGAAATAAGGGCATCACTTATCTTGCTGTGCAGAGTGACAGATGTACAGTATGTAGACCACACGTTTTGATTACCAGAATTACAAATCATTTTGTGTGCAAAACTATAAACATGTACATTTCGGTAGTGTATTTAGACCCTATTGTACGCAACGGAAGCGGTCATATCAATGCAATTCCAACTCCGTCTAAATCACACAGATTTGGAAAGTACTTCATGCACTACTTTTTGCAAGCTTGGGTGCGACTTGCATAGACATCTGTGCATGAAGTCCCACAGGTGTCTTCCAACTTCACACTGAATCAGACTTTCAAATCGTGCAACTTCACTTGAATTCACACAATTTCAAAGTCTGATTTGGTGTGACCAAAGACTAAGACATTTGCCTGCCACGCTACATTTGTTATTGATGCAACTAATGTACTGTAAATCCCCAAATTTGCCTTTATATCCACCAGTGGAGCCATCCGGCTCTGCTACAATGCCCATGTGTTGCCAGTAAACATACGAACAGGAGTAGTGAGTCAAGTGATTGAGATTGAGTCTGTCCATAAGCCACAGCTCACAGATGATGCCAAATGAGTACACAGCAAAGTCTGTACTCCTGCTCTTGGGGATGGACTCAGCAATGGCTATGGTAACAATTCAGATATCCTGAAAAATGCACTCCTTACTGCCCTCAACAGACCGGGGTAGTCCCAAAGTCACTGGATACAAAGAAAAGAAACAGAGGGTGCACCGGCCTAGTGCATTATTGTAAAAAATATTTATTAAAAGGATAATAAGTATCGTACTCACAATTGACATACAGAACAAAGGCACATCACACTAAACAGCAGTGTCCAATCCACGCTGCATATAAGTCCATAAACGGAATCCTGAACTTACAACAAACTAACACATTTCGAGGACTCAGCCTCTTCCTCAGAGCTTTCCTTCCCTGGCTGAGTCCTCGAAACTCATTGGCCTGTTGGAAGTCCAAGATTCCATTTATGGACTTGTATGCAGTGTGGATTGGACACCGCTGTTTAGTGTGATGTGCCTTTGTCCTGTATGTCAATAATTTTTTACGATAATGCACTAGGCCGGTGTGCCCTCTGTTTGTTTTCTTTGTATCCGATGCCAAATGAGTAGGCTGGGGGTGTATTTTGGGCAGTGTTCTAGACCAAGATGGGTTTGCTGCTTCTAACACACTGCGCAACCTTCATGGACTTGATGTGAACAAATGTATTTTTATGTTAGGCCCACTTTGATTGCTTTCCTAACTGTGTTCTCCACTTGCAGTTGCTGGCGAGACAGTATTAGATGCTGACATCCACCTTATTATGGAATATCCAACCGGTGCCAGGTGGGGAAACCACATCTCTCGACGTGCAAATAGGTGACTTATCTGTTTATTAACTTTAGTTGTTTTATTAAATCTTTTTGGAATGTGAATAATCAATTACAATGTTTATTCCTCATTTCTCATTGCTCCCCAATCCTTGCCTTGTACATAGTGATCAGGTCTTGCTGAAGACTACCAAGCCTGAAATCCCTGTATGCAAGGCTGGACAAATGCCTCTATCTGACCTGTATACCTTCAGCTGGCCAAAGGTGCATGAATGGCCACGATCTTCATGATTTTGCCTTGAATAAAGCATGAGAATAAAAGCTCATTTTTATTTTGGATTTTTGACAGAACCAAATCTTGTGTTTGAAATAGGCAACACTGTGCTTCACAGCTCTACAAAGAAGGGCATATTTGGCTCTGTCTTTATACCCTGACTGGCTAAAGTTAAACTTTTAAGTTTTTACAGAATAAAGTTGATTTACTAGTGAAATAATGACTGTTTAGCAAAGTAAATAAAGCGATTACTTCCATCATCCAATTATGCTAGCAAAAATAAAAAAATGTTTAATTTCTCTTGCACATGATTGGGTATGAAAACTAAACTGGTGAGCGTTATTTACTTTCATTCATTTTGCATACTTTATTCCTTTTAGTTAAATAATGTGGTATTGCCAATCATTGTGCACTGTGTAACAGAAGAACTAATGCAAATCACATTTGCAGATGGTTCAGTTATCACACAATGAGCACTTCAAGTCATTAGCACAATATTCTTCCAATTTGTGCCATAATTATTCTCTCGCAGGAGCCCACATCATCATTTCTACATTTTACCAAAATAAGTACTCAAAGTTATACAATCGGTGAAAGGAATGGGTGCATGGATCAAAATCCAGATGTATGCATGTGACCATCAATAGCAGAAAAAATATCCACTACTACTGCATACTTCCTAACAGACTGGTTTCAGCCTACAGAGGAATATTGTTGTGTAATTATATAACATAGTATTGGTGTTTATAACATCTTGGAGTTCTGGCTAATTTAAATAGGGGTTATAAGAAGTGTAAGTGCAGAAATTTACAATTTATCATGTGTAGAACTGCTGGCAGGTATACTAGAAGACTTTTACACTCCTATAGGACATCGCAGGGAACTTTTTAATTAGACAGTAGGGCAATAGCTTGCTGAGGACAGGGAATATAATAGATAAGGCAGGTGAGATTTCTTTTTCTAATCCTATTTATTTTACCTTGAATTCATTTTATTTTTGACAGGTACATCGTACACAGTGACTCTCACAATCCCATGATTGACTCCCTTGAAGATTTCAGATCACAACTGGAAAGTTTTAAGCCTGATCTTCTTGTGATTGGTGGGCTACAAATGATGGATAGCTTCCCTTTCAAACCAGGTGAGGATAAATGCAACTCTGTGGTTAGAGGTGTCTTCATATACCTGCAGCAGCCTCCAAAATACTGTGGCTACAGCCAAATTCTGAGCCATTCTAATGGGCACAGTTTTGGCACATCTTGGTAGTGTTAAAGCCTTCCTTATGCATAATCTTGTCAACAGATCATAGTGATGGGTCAGTTGGATAATATTGGAAATGGAGCTGCAAGCTTCAACATTGCCAGGAGTGTTGGTGATCAGAACAGCCCAAGATGCAGGTAGAGAGGTAGGGACTTGAAGGCTGCTGTACGTACTAGAGATGTATCATTTCTTGAAATTATAAAGCCATGGGAAAAAATGTTTTGTTTGTTTTCCCCCTTTTTATTTTTGAAAAAAATTGAAATTTTTTGAAAAAAAAAAAAAAAAAATCCATGTGGAATAGTTTTTACAAATCGAAAGTCATTTTGTTACACTGCAAATTGCAACTTTTGCTCTCCGCAGAAATTTCACTGTGGAAATGTTACTAAACTCTAGAACATCTCCACAGTGTACCTTTTGAGGACCCCTGGCAAAAAGTCTGAGCTCTCAGGAAACCCCTGAAATTTTTGTATGTACAGCTCACGGAACATTGATGTGACCAGCGAACTGTAGGTATAACAATTATTCTTCCAGCATTAAACAATGTGAAACTTCTGCTTGCTTTTTTTTGCACAGATGCTCAGTTCTGGATCAAATTTGAGATAAGCAGTGTACAGGAGGTCAGCAGGGCAGAGCACAGGAGATCCAGGATGGGACAGCATAGGGGTGCCAGGAGAGAACTTTATAGGAGGGCCAGTAGAGCATGGCACAGTACAGAGGGGCCAAGAGGAAACTGTACTGGCAGGGATCAATACTGGAGACTGTAGCGGTTTTCCTCATGCAGAGTAGCTCAGGAAAGTTTCTGGATTGTATCTGGTGCATTGATCTCCTCCCACCCTCTCTAATCCCTCCCAAGTGATGTCACACGGGCACCTGGGACAGACAGGAGGAGAGGGCCAGCTAAGATCAGTGCAGGACAGTGATGCAAGTTTCCCTCTGAGGCTATGCAGATTGACTGTCCGCTATGTGGGAATGAAATCTGCCCTTCAATCACAAGCAGAAGATGGGTAGGTCATGACAGAGCCCCTGGGGACCTTTTCAAGGAAACCCCAGTTGAAAAATACTGCTCTAGTTATTATTCTCACCATTTTACTGAGAGGAAAATAAACAATTTACAGGCATCTATAAACATTATGCTGTGATGGTGGAGAACATTAGTAGTATGTTTTTAAAGGTTAAAAAAGACAAACTAATTTGTCAAATTTACCCACTTGCCTCTCAATTAAGGCCTGAAACTATCATCTACTGTATCCCAACAGTCACCCAACTGTATTTTTGATTTGAGCCCACAAGCAAACTAAATTGGAGCCTTTCCCCTGCAGTGCTCCTCAGTGGCAGAAATGCACATTTCTCTTGTCTGAGACCTCCATTCAAAAGTACTGTTACTTGAGATATATTCCAGGATTTGCTTGTTTTCAGCTAAGAGAACTTTGCATAAAGTCTGAGAACCTTTCATTAAGCTTTTCATGTTCTATAGTTTGATTACCATGTCATAGATATATTGTATATCATTTTAAAAGGACTTACTCCACACTTTTTTTTTTTTTTTTTTTTAATTTTTCCATTTTTTATCTTTTTCCAGGCATTCCTATCTCTAGGCTGTACATATGAAAGGCAACTTTAGGTGCCTGCACTTTATACTTTGTATTTTTTTTTTTATTATTATTTATGTAAATGTTCACTGTGAGCAGCATACTGTGAGCTTGACATATAAAAAAATATGAAAATAATTGCTGTCTGCTTAATGTTAAGGTTTGTTCACACCATTGTGCTGCATTGGTACACACAATATGTTATGTTGTGTAAATTCAGAGTAAATTGTACCAGTGCATGTGCATTGCAGTAACCGTGCAAAGGTGTGAGGGGCCTTAATGGTGCCTATAAGTCAGTACCATAAGCCTGCAGTTGATTCAGAGAAAGAGACAAAATTGTGGTTGTTTGTCCTAACAGTGTTTTTCTTCTAAGTATTATTAGCCATTTAAATTTTGAGAATTTTTAAAATCCTTTTTATGACCGCAATACACATATACAGTGAGGAAAATAATTATTAAATCCCCTGCAGATTTTGTAAGTTTGCCCACTTACAAAGAAATTAAGTGTCTAATCATTTAATATAGAGCTATGATAAAATTATAGAGACAGAATATCAACCAAAAATCCAGAAAACACGATACACATGTTATCAACTGAGTTCCAGTTCAGTGAGTAAAATAAGTATTTTGGTCCCCTACCAACCAACAATAATTCTGGCTCTAACAGGCTGGCTATGTGCTCATGTAGTGCACAGATTAGTCCTGTCAATTTAAGAAGGTGCTCCTAAGGGCAACTCTTTGTATATAAAAGACACCTGTTCAAAGAATCTTTTTTTCCATTCAAACATCACCATCACTATGCTCAAGACCAAAGGGCTGTCAATGGACATCAAGGACAAAATTTTAGACTTGCATAAGGCTGGAATGGGTTACAAGACAATCAGCAAGAAGCTTGGTGAGAAGGAGACAACTGTTGTGAACAATGGAAGAAATACAAAATAACCATCAATCGTTCTCAGTCTGGAGCTCCATTCAAGATTTCGCCTCATGGGGTAAGGATGATCATGAGAATAGTGCTGGATAATCAGCCCAGAACAACACAGGAGGAACTTGTGAATGATCTGAAGGCAGTTGGGACCACAGTCCCCAAGCAAACCATTGGTAACAAAATACGCCGCCTTGGATTGAAATCCGGCAGCACCCGCTAGGTCCCCCTCCTCAAAAAGACACATGTACAGGCCTGTCTGAAGTTTGCCAATGAACATCTAAATGATTCAGAGAAGGATTGGGAGAAAGTGCTGTGGTCAGATGAGACCAAAATTGAGCTCTTTGAGATTAACTTGACTCTTGTGTTTGGGGAAGAAAAATGCTATCACCCTAAGAACATCGTCCCTACATTTAGGCACGGTGGTGGAAACATTTGCTTTGAGGCTGTTTCTCTGCTAAAGATACAGGCTGAGTTTGCTGCATTGAGGCGCCATGTATTGTAAAATCTTGGATGAGAACTTTCTTCCCTCAGCCAGAACACTGAAGGTGGGTCGTGGATGGGTCTTCCAGCATGACAATGACCCAAAACATTCCGCCAAGGCAACAAAGTGGTGGCTCAAGAAGCACATTAAAGTCATGGAGTGGCCCAGACAGTTTCCAGACCTTAATCCTATACAACATTTATGGAGGAAGCTGAAACATCCAGTTGCCAAGAAACCTTAAGGATTTTAAGAAGATTTGTAAAGAAAAGTTGACCAAAATCCCTCCTGAGACGTGTGCAAACCTTGTAACGAACTACAAGAAACGTCTTACCTCTGTGTGCTTGCCAACAAAGGTCTCTCCACCAAGTACTAAGTCATGTTTTGCTTGGGGATCAAATACTTATTTTACTCAGTGAACTTCAACTCCGTTTATAACATTTGTATCATGTGTTTTATTTCTGGAATTTTGGTTGGTATTCTGTTTCTATTTAAAATACACCTATGATATAAAATATAGACCCTTCATTTCTTTGTAAGTGGGCAAACTTACAAAATCTTCCGGGGATCAAATAATTATTTTCCACACTGTATGTGGCATTAGGGTGGTGAGCCTTAATGCCCAGCTGTCATATATGTCTCATTGTCCTGTTCTGGGGTGCACTTCATCAGTGTTCTCAGAACTGTGACTAAGTTGAACTGGCACCCTTTTGCCTGGTCTCCTATAGCTACAGGTGAGGGTATTCCCCAGTGGGGTACTAATGGAATAGGGTGTGGAGTATAAAGTAAACGTTGTTTGTAAGAAGTATTCAGTAACCTAGGTTTAGACCACACTGTAATGAATCCTTGTGGCGAAATTACAATTGGAAGCACCTGAGTACCTTATAAATGCTCTAGGTGGAATTGGAGGTAAAGTGTGCAACCATTGGCGTGATACAGCACCTGGTCATACATCTAAGCTCTGAGTGGCTGGATTTTGGCGTCAAGTTTGAAAAGTGTACACTGCAAGGTAAATACACTTCAAAAATAGCCCATTTTTTAGTAACTGACTTACCTGTTCTAATGCTAGACTGTAATTTAAGTTCAGGCTTCTTCTGGCACGCTTCGCATAACACCCCTTCCCGCCAATCTTCCTGGGGCTTTCAGGGACTGGGTTCCATAACCGTGGACCATAGCCCTGGACTTGTATAGAACCCTGTGGCTAATTTTTACACCAAGTATTTACACCAAGTGCCAATAAGATTAGATTACCGTGAGGGCTGAAGAATTAAAAGTTTAAAAGAAAAATTAAACTAAGGGTGATTTTCTCCGTGAAGGAGAAAAGGCCCATCAACTTCAGACACTTAACACAAAGCTGAGGACTCACAAAGTGGGGTAGGGCACCCAGGGGGCTTGTCCTCTAAAAGCTTTGCGAATGTCCATCTGAAAGTACACCCATGGAGTATGAATACTGTGCCCTGTACTGTACGATTAAGGATATTCTGTTTGTCTTGCAACTATTGCAAATATTACCTGCATGGAATACAAGGTTTGCAAGATTTCTCAGTTTCCTGAATTGACTCGCTGTCTTTCATAGAAGACTGCAAAATGGCTGGAACATCGCATTCCCCAGGGTTTAAAATTACACCAAAGCATGTTAATGCATATCTTGTTTTTATTGCCATAAATGAAAATGCATGTCAACACACATAATTGTGATTTCTCACAAATGTTCATTGACATGCAAAACAAAGTGCATTGCAACATGTGTATTTTCATGTGCTTCTTTTTGTTTAGCTAAAAATGTATGTGCCTAAAAATAAAGTATGAATGCAGCCAAAAAATACTGCCCAATGCAAGGGTGTAAGGCAAAACAGGAAAAAAAACAGAGGGGAGCAAAAAGTATAAACTAGAATCTAGTTATAAATTGTATATAATGTCAATTACAATTTTTAATTATTTGTTCAGGTCAGCGTGAAGCAAGATTGAAGGCGATTCAAGAAATGGTGTTGTCCATGGACCAAAATATAGGCTGCCACTTTGAGATGGCATCCTTTGTGGAACAAAACCTCATGAAAGACTTGCTAGAGTATGTCATTCCTTATTCTGACTCTCTGGGAATGAATGAGCAAGAACTTCCAAATCTTCTCAGTTTAATTAAAGGGGGAAACATTACAGTCTTATCTGACCCTTATCCTCGTGTGGCTTCCATTCTGGACCAAATGCGTGAACTTTATCACCTGCTTACATCCATGGAACTTGAAGAGGGTCAGAGGAGGCTGACCCGGCTGCATGTTCACACGCTTGCATTTCAGGCTATGTTGGTGGGCAAAGGCTCCATGTGGAAGAACACAATGTCTGCTACAGCAAAGGCATCTCTTACTGCTAATAGACATGTTTGTGGTTCTGCACATATTGATACTCGCAAGGCTAAACTCATTATGGATGATTCTTTCTCAATCAGCAGAGAAGTTGGCAGCCAGAGGATACCTTTTAAGGTAAATCGTCCTGTGTCTTGTTGGGAAGAGGACACTTATGAGATCTGTCTAGCACCTGTCTTGGTCTGTACTGAAGTTTTCCAGACAGCAGGTGGAGGAGACAATATATCTGCTGCAGGACTGGTGTTGCAAATTTAAAACTTTAAGTAGCTTCATTATTTTGAGAAGGCCAACATTCCACGAGAGAAGTCTGTGAAATTTTAGCTGTATGTTTAAAGGAGGTTGTCAGAAGAGGGGTACAATGCATACTGACATGATTTGAAGCATATTTTGTATACTAAGAAACAGCGGAATCGGTGAAGATTCCTTTTTTTCACTCTAAGTACCATTCCATTTTTTTTTTTGTTTAAAGTTTAGTCCACTCAGAACTGATGTAGAATGCTGCACAAGATTCAGACTCCATGTTGTTGGGTGAACGCAGAGTTAGGAGGATAACTCATGTACGAAGAAATCACTACTGAAGGCCATGAGCCATATATGAAACCCTTCGTCTATATATAGTCCTTCAGTATCTTCCCAAAAAAGAGTTTAATCAGTTTTGATTGAACTGACATTTTAAATCTAAAATGAACGCCCAGTGTAAACCTGCTGAATATACAGTTCCAAATGAATCAAAGCAAAAGGCATTCAATGTCATACAGTTTGAATTATTTTCAAAGTAGCTGCACCCTGAGTAGAGAAGTTTGTCCTCTATCAGCATACTGCACAGCGAAATCCTTTCTCTCTGTGGGGAAGCAGTGATCTCTTTGCAAAGCTCATGCTACCTTGCAATCAGAGAGCTCTGGCTCAGTAGGGGGAGTGTCAAACATCTGCAGATTTGCTTAGCTATATCTCAAAAGCAGTGGTTCAACATTCTCCCTGAGTCAAACAGGGAATAAGGGTCCTTTTTGTTTAGTGTGCTTGCTGGCAGGGGAAATGTTTTTCTACTTACACTGTGGCTAATTCACAAAGAAAACAAACACTAAAGGCAGGTTCATATCATTCCTGGGACTGAATCGCACAGGAATGCATTGTGCTTTCCTGTGCGATTCACATGCGGCTCTGTGCAGTACAATTTCAAGCCCATTTGTTTTGAATGGGCTAAAATCGCACCGCACTGTGGCAAAAGTAGTGTATGCACTACTTTTTAAAATGCACTGTAACCGGATGGAATGGTTTCTTTTGATGCACCTAGAATATATTTAGTGGATTTAAACTGATTGGACTTTAAAGTGTCACTTTTCAGGCCCTTATGCACACTGGGCATTTTGTAGCTGGTTCTAGGGCCATCTGCATTTATTGGCAAATGAGTGTAGAGACCGGAAAAAAACATTGCCAGTGCATCCAAGAACAGCAAAGATTTGGCAGAAAAAAGCTTGAAACACGTTAGTGTGTAAATGCTAGGTATGTTTAGCGCTTGTGCATTAATCCATTTCAGCAGCCAGAATAAATGATCTATTCTGGTCAATAAAATGTATTTATTTAAAATAGATACTGCGCTATGTGAACCATTACATTTCATATAACATACATATGCATTATGTAGACCCTCATACCTCTGAAAGGCGATCCAAATAAATAAAAAATTGATTAAATAATACTGTGCAAAATACACTAATCACAAGTGTACATAAAGAACTGTGAAATATGGTCAAAACAACTTATTGTTCATCTAGACATATTAAAGTCCATATAAAGATAAAGACTCCATAATCAGTGATGTACTTTAAATCGATGCTGTAGGTGCAATGTGGATAATCTTCCTTCAAATGGTCACCAGAGTGTGTACCACCACCAAATAATGAAATGGAGGCTTACCAGAAATGGAGACCTCTTAAATATATTATTGGAACCCCCTATAATTAAGGAGTCTCCATTTCTGGTAAGCCTCCATCTAATTATTTGGTGGTGGTACACACTCTGACCATTTGAAGGAAGATTATCCTATGTCTATATGGACAATAAGTTACCATTTTGTTGTTTTGACCATATTTCACAGTTCTTTATGTACACTTGTGATGATTAGTGTATTTTGCACAGTATTTAATCAATTTTTTTATTTGGATTGCCTTTCAGAGGTATGAGGGTTTACATAATGGATATGTATGTTATATGAAATTTAAAGGTTTGCATAGAACAGTATCTATTTTTAACTCTTACAAAGAGGATATCCTTTTTAATATTTTGTGGCTTGGCGACACAAGGTGATTAGAGATTGCGTTTTTTGACCCCATATATAATAAAATTAATGCCCAAATGCTTGATACCTGTAAACACTTGTAAAAGCGCTATACACTTTAACAAGTGTCAGCTGTTTTTTTTTTTTTTTTTTGCCAAAACACTGCTGCCTGGAGGAAGGCTTCTAGGACAGTTTAGAAAATGTCCCGTGTGCATGAGGACACGGCAATAGAGATTGAAGCTAGACATTGACAGGTGAATCAATATTCTACCTGTTTGTTATCCATGTCTTTGTGATCTCTCCTAGAGAGACAACCGGTGGGCTGTGTTTCCTAAACTATTAAATGTCTACTAACTCATGCTTTTTATAATGTGAAGAGGTCAGACAGACCTTCCATATTTTATATATGTATGTTAATTTTATACATGTATGTTCATTTTAAAATTGTTTTTTTTCTCTTTTTGACAGTGACTATGCATTGCAGTTTTTACTCATTGTACTCATTGACAGAATTGCAGTTTTTACTCATTGTATCACAGTAACTGAAATGTGTTTTGGGACAATTTTTTCCCCACTTAATTTTGCCCAGGTAAATTACTTTTTAATGACAGAAGTTTGTTGAGTACTAATCATTCCTTCAAAAACATATTTATGTTAATGTATACCTGTTTTTAATCCTCCTTACCCACCTTTCTTGATCTATATTTGCCACCACCAGTACACCCACAAAGACCTCTACCTACATACGCCTTCCCTGGAAGTCCATTCCTGCATTCTGCTATGTGAATTAACCCATGTGTATATTGGCTTCTTGGGTACAAAATGCTGCATTGTGGGAGGCAAGAATGCACGCTGGACCTATACTTGATGGTACATGGAGTTTACTCAAGAAGTAGTGGGAATTATAGGCCGACAAGGTTGTCTATGGTATGTGAGTGGGAGGGATAGGAGGTTCTAATACAGGTGTTTGTTTTTTTTTTTTTTTTTGTCATTCCATCGCGCACTGAACTTTGCACTAGGCAGAATATGGCATTTAATGAAGAAGTACCATCACATTTAAAATGTTCTAATTCAGTCCACCAAGGGAATAGGTGGATGTAGCAGGGAGAGGGGTCAGCATAGATTACAACAAATCAACCATCTGCTAGTATACATTTAAACAAATGTTTACTAGCTGCTGGTTGATCACACAGCGCCGCCTTCCTCCCCAGCCTCCTTGGCTGCCTGGACATAGGTTGGAGAAGTTATACAAACATTTTAACACCGTCAGCCAGCTGCTCATAAACATTCGCTGACTGGGCAGACATTTCACAATGTGAATTCAAGCAACTGAATGTTTACTAGCAACTGGCTGCTAATCACAGCCTTCGCCAGCACTGACTGCCTTGGAATACTTTGTATTTCTTCCCCAAAGTGCATCTAAGTACTCAAGAATGCAGTTGATGAAGTTAAAACTATTTAGTTCAGTCAACACTGTGTGAGAGGTAACAGATTGGAACACTGTACAATCCTTGTGTTGGCTACAGTGCTGTGTCCTACCTTCCTTGGGGGAACACCCATAAAATGGGGATTTGGTAAGGGGAGGAGCTACAGCAGGCAGAAATAAATTTAAAAAAAAAAAAAAGTGATTTTAATGCAAAAATGGGCCATGGATTACAATGAGGTCAAATGCTACATACACTTGTTCCCTTTAAGGATTTAACCAGGATTTTTTAAATGTGATATTTCTTCAAAAACACATTTTTGTGGTACATATAAACTGATGTTCATAGTCTTGTTCTTTGAGTGTTTATTTGCTACAATACTTCAATAAAAAGGAATGGGATTTTATGTGTGGGCATGGTTTTGTTTCAGCTGTACTTTACTTTCCTCATTAGTTTAGGAATACATTTAGCCAGTTCTGTCTTGAACTTCACTTTTGAAGCAAATAGAGTAGAACTGTAAGAGAAGTGTAATTGTGATTCCTGGGAGAAAAAACGAGAACATCATAGGACAGATTTGATTCCTTTTCCTAAGTAAATGCTTAGCTTAGCAGACCAAATCAACCCAAATTTTTTTTAGGGATGAGTTGACTTAGAGTTGCTTAGTATTTTCAGCACATATGAGGGAAGATTTACACAGGCTTCTCTTCATTTTATATTGAAAAAGCTCATTTGTGATCTTTTACCATATCATTAAACATCCCTGGAAGGTTATGTTAGCAATGTGCAAAATGTACCGTATGTGTAATGTGCAACCTGTCCAGAATTACTATTGATATTTCTGGCAGTTATAGAGCAAGACTATTCAGGTATCATAATCGTACAGCCCAGCACAAAGGCTGGATAGTACCTTCAGGTGATTGGACACTGGCAGAACTGAGTATGTCTCTATAACCATACCCCACTCTGTGAGACCTCAGTTTTTTGCTAGTGTTCTGGGTTGATGGACCCAGTCTCCCTTTTTGGTGAACTGGTTTATTATTTTATTTGGAATTTATGTCAGACCAAACTGTTTTCATTCTGTGAGGAAGTAAATGAGAAATTGGATAGTGGAAGTCCAGGGGGATATTGTTTTATCTAGATTTTGCCATTTTTTTGTGTTACAGCGCTGTTACTTTAAGTGACAATTGCGCAGTCATGCAACGTTGCACCCAAATGAAATTGTCTTTTTTTCCCCCCATGAATTGAGCTTTCTTTCGATGGTATTTGATCACCTGTGCATTTTTTATTTTTTTGTGCTATAAAAAAAACCTGACAATTGAGAAAATAGAAAAAAAGTAAAAAATATTGTTATTAAACATGTCCAGTAAAAAAATAAAATTTCATCAAATTTAGGCCAACATGTCTTTGCTAAAAAAAAAAAAAAATTCTGATACATGTAAATTAAATGGTTTACGTGAAATGTTTTTTAGCATTTACAAATGCAAATGGCGGTATAGATACTGGAATTTTTTTGTTCCTAAATAATCAAAGGGTTAAAAGTGTGCTGGGAGTGTTTT